GGGAACGGGGCTTTACGGGGGGTTTTATGGGGTAAAAATTGGTTTTTCTCACTTTTGACCCTCAAAACACAAAATTTCCCAATTTCTCTTTAGACCTTTTTAAAGAGCTTAAAAAAACAAATAATTTAGTATATAAAAGTATTTTTGTTCGATTATTAGTAACGGAGAAAATTAAAAAAATTGTAAATTTAAAATTCCCATGTTATTCTTATGGAGAATATTGTCAAATGTTGTAGTTTGCTTGTTTATGGATATATTTTGATCAAACTTGGCAAATTTATTTATTTTGTACTAAGCTATCAATATTTTACTCAAAAACACACTTTATTAGTTTCCTTGTAGCAGCAAACCTAGGTACTCGTTAAACCTAATGTTATAAAATATATTTAACTGAAAATCAATTCAGACAAATGGAAATTCGCTTAGTCGGCAGGTTTGCTGCGGCGGGGGTATTTTCTAATATGTCAGTTTTCTCTATGATTTTGAAAAAAAAAAAAAAACTATACACCAAAGTGTTATTAACACTTAAAAAACCTACATTAAAGTGAGTGGTTTTCATAGCAATTTCTCTTTTATACAGATACTACTAATTCCTTAGGCCGTGATCTTACGGTACTATCTATACTAAAATATATTTACACCACGTGATCATCAATAGTAGTAATCCTAAAATAAAAACAATGCTCTAGAGGAAAGCTTTGAGGAAAACATGGACCAAATTAACTTTCAGCAAAAAGTTCATCAGAAGAAAGTTTGTGAGAGATTCCGGTCCCTCCTCGTAGAAACGCAATTTTATTAGATAATAAAAGTGCGTTTCTTTGTTTGAAATGAGTCTTTTCTGTAATCAAAATATAGTGAACATGTTTTAACACAGGTTGATAGACGTTTGAAACTAACGTATGTTCTTTTAAATCATTTTACGTACATATATTTTAAAATTAATACTTACTAAAATTACTACTGTTTTTGTATGTGATATTTAATTTTTATAACTAACACTTATTACACGGTACTAAGACTTACCTGCTAAATATTGAATAAATCCTTAGTAAACTATTCATAGTAATTTCCCCTTATTCGTAACTTAATACTAGATTGGTCAACCTTTTGGATAGATTTTCCTAGAAGTAGACCAATACGACACCAACACATCAGGTGGTCTATTTTTTTTATCAAGAGGAGGATGATGTAAGATTGATAGTAAGATGTTTGAAAACATTATCTGTTACTCTCTAAAAGTTGACACTGGGAAACGAAAAAAACTATTCAAGCAGAGACTAATTAATTAGAAAATTTTAAAATATTGCTTGTATAATGTCAGAAATTTTATAAAGCTATTGGTTTTAAAGATATTTGGAAACTTTTCCCATGATTAAAATTTTGAAAAGCAGTTTGTATAAAATCATTATAGCCAATGAATGAATATACTATTTCAGTATTATTTACCTTTTTGGAGGATTATTAAACGTGTTGGAGTATCCAAGTAGTATGATTCGAGATTTATCACTCTTTAACTCTGGATTGCGAAGAGGCCATTCATCTCACGATCAAGTTAAGCTCTTGATTTATACGACAGCCTAGCTGCAATGTCTTGAACTTCCTGTAAGTACATTTAATAACAACTATATATAACTAATTTTAGTGTAGGGAGGAGAGAATTATTATGCTCACTAATAAGTACCCATAAGTAAAATAATTAACCAAGCGGAAAATAAAATAAAAAGTATAAATAGTTCAACAACTGAATTCTTATGATAATTTTTTCTACTTATTCCTAATTTAAAAATAAAAACTTACAGGATGTCGAAAGAAAATTAAGTTTGCGTCAGTAAATCACATGAAGGTACTATTTACTTAATTTTATAAATTACTGGAGTCAACAGAGTTATTAAATTTATGAAAAAAATACATCAATTAATTTGTACTCGTTTCTCTATATTTGAGCGGTTTGATGGTTAGTTCTACACCACCTTTTGTACTTGACGTCTGTTGCAGCTGATGAGTTGTTATTTTAAAGGTAAGGATGGACTGGAGGGGATAGATTTCTTCACCTAAAACAACCTAAATATTTTTATCGAAGTGTTTTATAGGTGTGTGGTGCCTAAAAGGCAGATATTTCAGGTTAGAAACAAGTTATTCCAAAAATATTAATTTATTGTTTGTTTATTTTTCGGTAGTCCCTAGCAACCTGGGATACTCATTGCTGTTTTAAAATCTAGCGGATGTCATACGTTTTTCTTTCTGTATAACTACATTATTACTTTTACCTGATAGAATCATTTCAGTGTACACCAGCTAGAGGTGTAAATGCTTTGGTGTAAAATGTAATTCTTATCTTGACCCTGGTTAGGTTGGATGATAGTAAATAATATGTCAACACCCAATTTACTTTCCGCCTCTTATCTGGCTCGATTTGGGAAAGTGTATCATATGATATAAAATGTAAAATATTTGTCATTCTTAATTTCACATGAGTTCAAATGAAAAACATAACGTCCTGAAATCTTGGTAATGCCATGTTTTGGTTGGGACCTGCAGGTAACAGTGGCGTAAACATTTAGGAATCAGAACAGTACAAACTCAATGTTTATACAATATAATCTGTATAAAAATACACGTAATTAATAAGTTAATGTGTTTGCGTCGTCAATTAACACGGATGAAATATTCGAGAGCTGTTGCTAAAGGTGAAACAATTGAAAGTGTGCATCCAGTTATGGAGGTGAATATTATACTTTTACATCTAATAAAATAAAAACATATATCCGTAAATAAAATCATTGCTTGCACCAGAAATTGAGACTCATCTATTGATTAATTACTATATTGTGAGATAATTTAATTTCACATACAACATTATTTAGTGTTTTTCTTATTTTCGCAGTGTAAATGCAAACCCCATCTGAATACCTTTATTGGTTGGATTAAACCATTATTTGTGCAAGTGGGCTTATGCCTGCATACCAAATCCTCATTTACTATAATTGAATTTAAAAGAAAATAAATTAATTTACAATAGTTTATTTACAGTATTTTATTTTTTGGCACTATTAATACATCAATGTATTGCTATCTACTATTATTTTGGAAATGAATGTTAAATATCGGATGCTTATCCATGATAAATATTAATAAATATTTCTAGGTACCAAAGGATACCATATTTTTAGAGTTTACATAATTTAAATACTACACTGCTTAAAAATTAATACACTTTCGTGTTACTACCTCTTGTTTTACAACTGTGGATAGTTAAATTGTTGGCTGTTGAATCTTGTTGTGTAGTTGTTTGCCCAAAATGCTGCAACCCTTCTCTACAGCCACGATCTTCGCCAATTCAACTCAGTCAAGTACCTCACTCTAAAGGAACCTCTACTTTGAACGTGAAATCCAACTATGAACGTAACAGGTGTATAGTCAATGGTAACATATTCGCTATGAATCAGTTATTTTATATTATATTTAAATAGGCCTAGACCAGCTTTAGGCGTGCCCAAATAAAATATATTACTAAAGTGATGAAAACAATATATGCATAAGTGTCGGGTATGTTACTATTTAGGATTGCATTTTTCTGCCAAACATGATGTTGCTGCTAGTATTGTGTAATTCAGACATGTTAAAATGCTCTGGATGATTTATATGAGTGAGATCACTTTCACTTTCACCTGTAGAATAAACTGGTCAAATATGTCGTTAAGTAATTTCTTGCAAAACTATTTCAAATGAGTTAAAATAGTATCTAATTTTTGCATAAGAATACATGTTGAATAAAATATCCATTATACAACCAATTCAACATGCAATCGAATGGTTTACAAATCGGCAATAACCACCCGTTGTTTGCCCAACAACTGTAATGGTTAAACAGATGTGTCAAATAGTAAATATTCGTTACAGGCAGAATTAGTACAGACTGTTTATGCTGGGCTTGTGTGTTCAGTATGATGCTGACCACAAAATTATAATACATCGATAATTGAAACCATTAGAGATAATGATAAAGAAATGTCCTAATAATAGGTTTCGAACCATACAATCAACTATTTGGTTGCACATAAGAAGATATTTTTGTCATACCGCAACAGAATTAACAGCTATCAAAACACTTATTTGTATCCTTAAATTTGCATTTTTATCTTCAGTTATGAGTTTTAAAAGGTTTAAATATTTTTCAGTTTTTTTCATCTTAATAACTTCATGTTTCTTATGAAAAAAGAGCTTTTTAGCCGTAATGTACTCTATATACCCAATACAATTATTACAAAAATGTTAACATTGTTTCCTCTGTAACATACCTTTTATGGCACATTCCACCAAACCAATTTTTATGGTTGGGATGTAATTTTAAAACTTATAATCTAGGGGAGGCATTTATAATAAATGATAAGGTAATTTCCTTGATTGGAATAAACAGACTAAAATTGTTTGTACTTGTTTAAATTCAAATAGCGACTTAATACTCAATCCTTGAGTTAAACACAGTTAGATTGTAAACAAGAGATCAACAGTTTATATAAATTATTTATCATTAGGGTACTGTTATTGGTAATTGCAAACCTGATTGAGGTTGGTAAACCAATCTTTATGGTATGAATCTAATAATCAATTTAATTTATTGACAATTTTCATTTTTAATAACACAATCTCAAAACAAACATTTTTTCAGGTAAATTGCATAATTCATTTAGCTTTAAACACAAGTTAGTATTGAACCCTATTACAATGCGTGGGGTAATTGTATACGGGTTGTGTAAAAATCTTTTGAAAATTAATTTTTGAGATTTTTCCCTCATTGTTACAAAGTCTTTTGTCAATTTCAATAATTCTTTTATATTTTGAAAAAAAAAAATCATATGTTATATACGAATAGTACGTTGAACATTACTGAAATAATATCAACTTAAATATCTTTTCTTTTATTCAAAGCTATCAAACTTTAATATCTGTAAAACTAACGAGAATGAGGTAGTTTTGTTTATAATAAACCACTGAAAAAATAATAATTCGACAGTTTATTTGAAACATATTTAAGATATTTACAAATATAAAAGAACTACATTTATATACAGCTTTCTTGGATTCTGTGCGAGGCTGTGACGACTTCAGGGCCTATTTTATGGTTTTGGTTGAGAGAAGGAGGTCGGGGCAGCAGGGGCCCCCCGCCGGGGCCCACCGGGCTCTGTGCCGTCACCCCTTTGTGGGCCCTTAGCGTCCCACAGTTGTTTACTACCTGTTTACACAAAAATTACATTCGTTGAAAAGGTTTGAGATAGCATTGTTGTAACCAAGGAATTCAATTATTAGCCCAATTAGAAATGCAGGAAGAGATATTTAGCCATATGACATTTCGAAAGGTTGACCAAAAACCACTCCAAAACAAGTATAACTATTCACTTTTTTCCCACAACTCGCTTAAGAAACAGAACATTTCTTTACAGTGAAACAATATAATTTTACTTTGGAATGTATTTTATGTAACTAAACCTGGTAATTAAATTCTATGATACAAATCAAGTTGAATTGAATTAGAATAAAATCGATCATTGGCGATGGAATTGTACCTTTAAATTTACACAGCCGTTACAAGAGTTACCATAAAGTAAAATTAACGTAAAAAAAGCAAAAAGATTAAAAAAAACATCAACGGTCAATGTTTTAAGTATGATCCTTAACGCTTTTATACAATTTTAAGTCTCCAATACACATGTCCGGTCTGCGGTCCGTCAGTCAAGCCTCTCAAGTCTGGCTGTTACCACACACGATCAGACCAGTGTTCCGACCGCCGCGCCGTTCCGATTGCTTAATCTTCGTGTAGCTTCGATTGTATTCGGTCAGCATCAGTTACACTTCAGTTTGAGACGGAATGGGGCAATGACAACGAATGCCGTTGAAGAATGTCCATAGAGACTGCTTCGCTTAGGAATAAAGTCTGTCTAGCTACTGGGTATAAAGTCATACAGAAAGAAAGCAACATTGAGGAGAAATCTTCTCTCTAAACTGTCCAGACCAGATTCAATTTTTACGTCCATCACCACACACATTGTTAATTGTTTATGTATAGATGGCGAATTTAAAATACATGTTTTCGTGTCAAGAATTTAGTCTTTTTTATGAAGTGGTTCTCTGCATAACGGCAGGTTTTAAAATTTGGCTATTACTATTTTACATGTTTGCATGGGCTTACATGAGAGTTATTGGCTATAGTTTCTTTGGCTGCATGAATGTGGTTAAGCGTAGTCTCTGCCTCGTCCCCGTCCGAGGCGAAGTCTCCATCATCACTACCGTCCTTTTTTCTTCGTCGCTGTGGAGGCGTCTTGTAAATTTTCATAAAACCTTTCAGAGGCCTCCGTTCTGAAATATTTGAAAATAATTTAAAATATGACATTTTTACTATAGAAAATAATTATTTAATTGGTTGGTATTTTGTATTTGTTTTTTTTTAGAAAATCTCAACCTAAGGCATTAAGCAGTAGTTTTTCAGTTTCAAGCTTTGTAAACACATAATAAGTATAATTTATTTTACTTATTTTTACTGTTAATAGACATGTTATGTTATGTGTATAATATTTTGTTGGGTGCAAAATTAACGTGTCGTAATAATACCCAATAAAATGGATCAATATCGTTCGATGTGAAGTCAATTTATTTAGTTTTTAAAAAATTCAATTTCGTACACATGAAGGGTATTGCTTCATTTGTATTCAATTATACATGAAATAGAGATCTTAGTTTTTCGTTTAAATTATACATACATTTGAGTCAATATTAGGTGCATTTTAATCTAAACTAGTACATTTCTGAGCAATGATTTTATAACCTAAGGCTTAATAAGATTGTCCCTCAGTTGTATAAGAAATAAAACACACCATAACAATTTTAATTGAGACAGTGTTTAGAACATGAACGATTTAATTTAACTCATTAAAAGTTGTGTAATGTGAGGTTCATTTACAGAGAGACAGTTATTTACCATATTTATTAGGGATGATGTCGGGGTCAGTGTCGTCGGCCGGGGAGGTGGCCGTGTTGTTGGCTGTGATGAGGACAGCTCCGTGGCCCAGGGTGTCCTCCATGTCCAGAGACTCCAGCTTGACTGTTGGACGTCTGCGCGCCTGACGTCTGCGGTACAATGCCCCGGCCACACACAATGTCACCAGGGACAGAGCCCCAGCCAGCGCCAGCAGACAAGTCAACACTGGGGTAATGGCTACTGGCGTTGAAGGACCTGAATATAACATAACTATGTAAAATTCAGCTATACTACAAACTAAATGAAGATATATTTTGTATTGTATCGTATATTTTGTGTTTTCTGTTTAAGTTTTAGTCTGTCAACGTATTCAGAATTGAAGACTATTAAACAATGTATCTAACGAATTTTATTGTTAAGAGTTCTATGATTATTGGGTTACCTAAAATCTTCTAAAGGTTCTTCAAGGGTAAAAGAAGGAATAACCTGGTTTTACGGAGTAAACAAGTGGTATTATGTATTATTTAGGTTGTAGGCTTGTGCCAGCAACGGTTCTAAAACACACAGCGTCTGGCCTACACCAGACTACAGGATTGTTTTTTATTGTTTGTAACGGCGTTGACTTATATGTATTTTCACATTATTCTCTCAAAGTTTCTCTCAAACAGTTCTAAATACACTGTTGGTCAAAGGTTAGGAATATTTGAGCAATATAAGTTCATACAACACACTTTTTAATAATGTTAAACAAGATGAATCATCGAAATGTTTGCTCGGTATTTAATTCAAGCTACCATAGGAAACGATTAACTATATTATTTAAATAAAAAATTTAAATTTATCGCGACGATATCATGAATAATCCACCATTGCGTGTTCATTAATCAAAAGGTAATTTAGTTTAACTGGGAACTGAAGTTTATCTTATGAATTTTTTATCTAAAAAAAAAGTAAATTCTTTTTAATACCTATATACTTTGCAACACCCTTGAAGGTGACTGCCTCTAGCACGACGGGGTCGCTGCGGCCCTTTGCGTTGACGGCATACAAGTTGACTTGGTATGACGCGCCACTCTCTATCCCGTATATCTCAAACACCGGCGGCGCTCTCAGCACGGTCACATTGAACCTGGGGATCCTCTCAGGCAACTCCAGCAGCTCCATGAGGAACATCTGGGGCAGACCTCCGTCGAAGCTCTCCAGACACTCGACGTGCAGCGAGTCCGAGGTGTGGTTGGTCACCGTGCAGTTGAGTAGAGGGAACGGCCGCCCTGAGGGGTGAAACAGACAGTGTTAGGCTATGTAATAGTATAGTGCTGGAATTCTTTGCGGGTATTATCTTTATGTTAAGGTTTTTGTTTCTTCTGTAACCTCTGGAAAGAAAGAGAATTGAGAAAACCTAGTTGGGCTTACTGTGAAATAATATGTTGCATTAATAACTTAAAAAGAATTATCATTAAATGAAAAGATATCTAACAATACAAAATATCTCAATCATAAACTTATGAACACATTTATTGAAATGTAGAAAACCTGTATACACACAACTATAAAAAAAATAAAATATTAAGATAATTACATGATTACGAAAATGATTTCATTATTTAATACCTCATGTATAGTACAACAGTTGTAAATAAGCTTACCGGCGGCAACGACCTGGTAGACACATGGACTCCTCATCTGACCCACACTGTTGGACCCGTAGCAGCTGAGAGTGCCGTAGTCCATGTCACTGACCGGCGTGTAGTTGAGTCTAGACACCGTACCTTGGCTGGTGATGCGGGAGGCAGGTACCTCTGTCTGGTCGCCGCTGTTATTGAACGTCCACTGGAACGTCACTACTGGAGGGTTGGCGTCAACCTCACACCTCAGATGGACTGTCTCGTGTTTCAGAGCGCCATACAGCTCCTCCCGTTCCTCCTTGCAGGTTGGCACGACTAAAACACAACATCGTCTTGTAAACTCCTTACTTTAGGTTATTAGATTTTTTTTCTACAATATTTTACAAGTAGCTTTTGCTCTATTTAATCTGGTTGTAATAATGCTCACCTACTGATCAAATGTTTTTATATTTATTCGTGTAATTGATGTGCGAATAGGTTTTCCAGGTTGATCTGTCGAAAAGGTATAATCTTCTTGATGGTTCAAAACTGGAACAAGCTGCCCATGATCTGTATTAAATGGTCCTAGTTCATAAACTGTCTGATCGTAGTCATAACTAAGTTTTCATATCACCCATTTTACATTTCACTAAAATACTGTTTGTCATCTACGTTTCCAAATATACACTATTATGTGTCAGCATCGTAAACATTTCATCTAATCTCTTCACTTCTGTAAATGTTGACTTACACATGACTTTGAGCGCGACCGGGTTGCTGGTGCCCTTTCCCTCAGGGTTGGCGGCGAGGCAGGTAAAGTCCCCGGCCGTGTGTCTGGTGACTCCCTGCAGGACTAGACTGTGGTCACTCAGTATGACTCCGCTACTCACGTTGTGGTACAGTTCCTGGCCCTAAATAAACAAAATATAATGTCATGTTAACTAAATTTAATTTTACTCAAAATTTTTTACTTATTTTTTAGTATATGTCGTTTATATTTACCGAACAGTTTTGTAAGATTTTATATTAATTTACTTCAAATTTGGAGAAAAATGATTTTTTTAAATTCTACAGCAATAAAACATACAATGCAAAGATTCTTTGGGGTGTGCATAATGATTTGGCAGGTTTACTTTATACAAAAACAAATATAAATTTGCCTTGATTTTACACCGTGCAAACTTACATTGTGAAACCAAGCCAGCTTATATGCCTTTGGATTAGCTCTGATATTGCACTCAAAGTAAACGTCATCTCCCTCTTTGATGTCATCAGGGTTGAGTGTAGAGCCCATTTTGAGGGTTACCACCGGCATATCTGAAAGCAATAAACCTTTTAGTGTGTCTCCTGTGCAGCCGCTTACAATGGATCGTAATAATATAAGCTAGGATATAAACTAGTTTTGCATAATTTAATACGAATATAAAAAAGAACCAAATTAATATCAGCTTATGGTAAAGTAAACAGAACAACAAATCCACATTTTTGTAGACAGTTTATAATAATTTTAAAAATGTATTAACATTAACATCAACTGTGATAGAGTACAGGTTCTGATCTTGAGTGGTTTCCGTAAAACTATACACTTAACTTACAGTGTACGTTAAGTTTCCACTTGTCCTCTATTGCTGCAGCCGCGTCAGAGAAGGCTGTGTTTTCTGCTCTGCAGGTCAGATGTTTGCCGTCATCGTCAATCACTGGCACGAACGACAAAGTACTGATGGTGTGCCTTTCATCGTTTTCCATCTGTAGACATTTAGTTAAACCAATCGTTGATATTATGTACACCGCAAATGTAAAAAAAAAACATTTTACATCTCAACTTTAGTATTCTTAGTATTACCATTCATGAAATTGAAATGCATCGTGTATTTTATAATATTTTATATATTTTATAAGTATTTTACAATTTGAAGCACAAGTTTTGGGTTTAGAAAAATGTATACTAATTATCCATTAATTTTATTTTATTGCACTTTATTTATGATTTATGAAAATTAATTGAGAACCCAATCTAGCTTATTTATTTTAGCATAAAGTAAACATCAATAAGTGAAATCTTACTCTATATTTACCGCATTTCTTAACCGTTAATGTTTTACCTACTATTAATATTAACTAGTTGTGTAATCAACTGAGCTTATACGATATCGAATGTGTACTAACGCACTTTTATGGCAAAAGTTGTTTTATAGGGCCAACAATAATACTTTGATTTTGTTTGGTCATGTCATTTTGACATTGGAAGCTACAGTATAAGCTAGTCAGCCATTCTCACCCGGGTGACTGTTTTAGCCATCTTGTGCACCTGTCTGGCCCCTTTCCACCAGGTGATGGTCGCCTCAGGCTTGGACCCGGCGGCCTTACACTCCACGTCGTACTTCTTGTCTGCGGAGATGTATTTTGACTTGTTCGTGATGGTCACGTCAACTGGCTTCACTGAAATACAGAATATTGTTTGATTAACCACTACAATGTTTGACAATCGAAATGAATATGCTGATATTATTAAAAAGTACTGTTATTCTTTGCTCTAAAACGAGCAGAGTCTGTTTGTCTGTACATTGTGTCTTTATGTCTGTATGTCTGTAATTTATTATATTTCGAAATCCAGCGGAAGGATTTTGACTACATTTTAAAATTAGGGACTTATAGCCTTATAAACGTGATTGACAAAAGCCATTACCTCAGGAAAATTTTTTTCGATACACAACTCATTTGAAAAAAAAAATAATGTCATTGGCCTTATGGATTCCAAGTAACCATGTTGGTTGAACAAAATAACCAATAAAAAGTGAACAAAAGACTTGTAACATGTGTTTATACGAAGCCATCCACAGTATACCAGCAAATTATAAAATACAGAACAAAGTGATAAATTTTAGTCGTAACTATTGAGCAAAGATTACTTGATATAGGGGAACATTGAGCAAGTCAGTGTTGATGAGTGATGAATGTTTCGTGTTGGTGCCGTTTGAGTGAAGCTATTACATGATAGAGCACTGGCGTCAACTTAATGTTTCGCCCTTATTTAAGGGTAGATTTTAAAATTTTCATGCACTCTTTTTTATAGTTTACTTAATCTGGACAGCTGTATTCATAATCAATAGACAACCCACTGAAACTTAGATAATAAATAGTTGTAAAGAACGTGAGTTTCCTTTATATTGATTTTCCAATTGAAATAAACTATACCGAACCATGGCTCGGTCCCCCGGCACTTGTTATTTATTACAATAAAGATATTTATTTCTACCCAAATTCAATGTTTATAACTAATTTTTAGTCAGAAATATTTCACCTTACTCAATAAAACCAGGTTGTAGTAAAATCTTATGATTTCTTTTCAATATAGTGATTAATGCTAGTTGCCTAATGATCGAACCGCTTGATTGGTGCTTAAGCATGTTGGTCAGATTCGAGAAATAGGCAAGAATATGAAAAAAAACTTTAATTATTACGATGATAAAGCAAGTAATATACATGGTGGCTGAAAAGTAACTTGCACCCACACTTAACTTTTCAACCATTTGAGATATCGGTTTGCGGCAACCTTCTTAGATATGAGGGGCTACAATAATGATGGTCAATTTTGAAAATTTCGCCCTTAGGGGTAGCGGGGGTAGGGGGTAGCTCAAAATTTTCAAATCACAAGTATAGTCGAGTTTGGTATAATTTTACAGGTCTTGATGAAACATGTACATTGACATAAAGAAAACCAAAATTGGCTCACTAATAACAAAATGGCGCCCTGAAACGTTTCAAATCCAAATAACCATGAGGGTGGCAAAACAATTATTAACTTGCACCCTCTTTAACTTTTTAACTATTTGAGATATTTGAAATCGGTTTGCGGAAACTTCTTTGGAAATGAAGGGTTACAAAAAATATGGTCAGTTTTGAAAATTTTGCCCTTAGGGGTAGCGGGGGTAGGGGGTAGCTCAAAATTTTCAAATAGCAACTATAGTCGAGTTTAATATCATTTTGTAGGCCTTGACGAAACATAACAATTAACATAAAGAAAATAGAAATCGGACCATTAATAACAAAAAAGCAGCTAAAAATGATTGAGACAATGGTTATTTAAAGTAATTTTGAGCTGCCATTTTGTTATCAATGGTTCGATTTCTATTTTCTTTATGTTAATTGTTATTTTTTGTCAAGACCTACAAAATGATACCAAACTCGACTATAGTTGCTATTTGAAAATTTTGAGCTACCTCCTACCCCCGCTACCCCTAAGGGCCAAATTTTCAAAACTGACCATAATTATTGTAACCCTTTATTTCCAAAGAAGTTTCCGCAAACCGATTTTAAATATCTCAAATAATTAAAAAGTTAAAGATGGTGAAAGTTAATTGTTTTGCCACCCTCATGGTTATTTGGATTTGAAACGTTTTAGGGCGCCATTTTGTTATTAGTGAGCCAATTTTGGTTTTCTTTATGTCAATGTTCATGTTTCATCAAGACCTGTAAAATGATACCAAACTCGACTATACTTTTGAGCTACCCCCTACCCCCACTACTCTTAAGGGCAAAAATTTCAAAATTGACCATCATTATTGTAGCCCCTTATATCTAAGAAGGTTGCCGCAAACCGATTTCAAATATCTCAAATGGTTGAAAAGTTAAGTGGGGGTGCAAGTTACTTTTCAGCCACCCTGTATATTAAATTCATCTATGTTTTCTACACTCATTTAGAGGATGAACAATGTAATGCAATTTATTTCACTTACAGTTGACGTCTAGTGTAACCTTCTTGAGCAAGGCTTGGTGCAGAACGGTGTTGGACGCCTGACAAACAAGCTGCTTCTCTAGGTGCTGACGTCCCACGGAGGACACCTTTACCTTGTTGATGGTCAGGTTGTGGCCAACATGCTCGAACGTGTCATCGTACAACTGGTTGTCCAGGAACCACACCACTCTTGGCCTTGGCCGACCTGACAATGTTAACTTGCCATTAGGATTAAAGTCAGTACACAAAATTCATACCGATGATGACGGAGGGTGAGGACAATTGGACCTGTGTGTCACATTACATCCAGGGTATTCTCCGCGCCAAGAAGCTCGACCTTGACCGGGATGCGGTGTAGGTCATGAAGTATCTAAATGCAAAAAACGGTGCGAGCCCTGAGGGCTTAGGTCACATGTTGGCCTGGCTTGAAGTACCGGTAATGTGACAAACAGTTCCAGGTCTGTGTCCAACAGAGTAGAGGGGGTTTTTTAGTGAGTAGTCTGTGATAGATTCAGGAGTCTCACACTACAGGCTGGCTACCTGTGTGCGTAAAAGCATTTTCCCTCCTCTCCCTTAAAAAAAGTACACAAAATTAAGGTTGTTTGTGGGGAAGTTTCCCCACCACTTTTTTGCTTTTGTATTTGTTGCAGCTGATTGACGTTTTGGCAAACGTCAGTTGTAGAGCTATTGTTTTAAAAGTATGATCAAGTAAATAGAATATATTTTTTACCCTAAGACCGCCTTAATTTTGTGAATGGAGTATTGGACAAAAGTGTATAACGTGAACGTATGAGTTTTAAAGGAGAAGTAGAAAACAGAAACCATTAATTTCATGAACGTGTTATGTTAAATTTAGTTACTTGTGATAGAAGGATTCATGCTTGAATTTTTGGAGCGATTGTAATACTTAATGTAAACTCTTTAAGTAATACTGTAACACAACGATATAGTTTTCTTAGATGAACACAATAAATTGCATACATATTTTCCATAGAAGTAATGTCAAAATATGATTTTAGTTGGCTAATACATTTACACCGTCATCAACCAACCTAATAGGCTAGTTTCAATAAAAATGAGCTAGGTAGTTTTCCCTTCAGGGAAATCGAGGAAGTAAAGCTTAAAAGCTTTTATGCCTGGTATATTGCTATTTAACTGTGATAGAACGTTACTTTAAAAGTATTTGCTGGTAACACTAAAGGTAATAAAGAGTTTTATTGGGAAAGTTTTACATACCTCCAGGCACTTCACAACTTAAAACTACGTCGCTTCCTTCATTCCAGGGGATAGTTGTCTTTGATCTGTCTCTTCGTTTTTCATCGTAAATCATTGGTGGGTCCGGTGGGACTGGAACAACAATTGCACACATACTTTATATAATATTTGATCAAACACAAATTAATCGGTTGTATGGCGTTTCTTGCACCAATAATTGGAGAATTTTCTGTTAAATTCCCATGAATAAAAAAAAATACTTGATTTAAATTATTATAGTTGCGGATGCTAACCTTATATATTTCCTTTTAATTGAGGAAAGTCATTTTTAAATCTAACAACTACGTCAATAAAATATAAACTGCTTTGCTTTTACAATTTTGTGTAAGACATACTCTATACTTTTTGAAACTCGTTTAGAGCTTGCCAGTCTCATTCAATCGGAGCTGATTTTTTCTAGACACTTATTAATAACTTTTGAAGATTCTCACATTATTAACAAACAAGAGTATATTTTACCTATAACAGTAAGATTGATCTTGGCGTTGCGAGTGGGGGAGTTACGGAAGTCTACCCTACAGCGATACAACCCCTCGTCCTCCAAATGAAGATCGTCCACCACCAGGACTGCAGGCTTGGTCGCCGTGCGAAAGAACGCTCGCTTGCCAAACGCACTCTCGGAGGACCACAGCTTTGCTTGACCGAAATTGCGACCTCTCACGTCAAAACTGCATCACAACAGAGATTAGTACAAAGTTTTATAAGTATTAATATAGTAGTTATCCTTTGTGACTGAACTGAATTAATCGTTAGGTAACCACGGGCGACTTGTGGAGTTGACAAATGGACGAACATCTTTTAAAATGTGTCACTTGTAAACATTCAGTAAGGCCGACACTTGGACCAATTGTATTATGGTTGAGAACATGTAATTCATTTTACCTTTTTATTTGTCAAATAACTGATCCGGAAAACCATAACAACATCAAATTAAATGTATAATTTGGACAGGTTGAAAGGCCTAAAGGTACTTTTTACAACAGAAGCTAATAAGGGGAATGAGCGCACTCCGTTGGTGGTTAGGTAGAGTACATAAATTTTTCTTAGCCAGTGAAAAACTTAACATTGAGGATGATTTGACTAGCGATTTTAATTGTTGTCAAAGACATTAATTTTTACCAGACAAAAACTACAGTATTTAAAGGTTTTTTCTCAGTTATGCCTAATGATCTGGATAAAGTAGTATTCTCTTTCAAATACCGTTGTAATGGTGGTAATGGTATGAGCCTAATACTTATTGCAGTAGGTAATGATCTAATTGTTTTTTGCACTGTTTTTGGATCTTACCACAGTATAAATGAAAGCCACTCTTTATTGTATGCTCTTACCTGTATATTGGCTCCCCGCCCGACTCTTTGAACCATAGCACCATGTAGACGGCGTCGTTGTCGCCTTTTGTAGATATATCACAGGGAAGAAGCACCTTTTTCGTCAGTACCCCCTCCACGTTCGAGATGGGAACTGTGAAAAAGACCAACCAAATTAGTTGATATTCTATGTTAGTAAAAAAAAGATGTTATAGAAATATAAGACAAACTTTCAACAAATCACACTTAAGTTAAGGATATTCAATACTCATACTACATAGTGTTAATTCGTGAATAGGCGAACAACATTCCTCATTGCTTAGTGCCTATAAAGAATACTATATTATGGCATATCATTAAGTAAGCAAACTATGAATTTGTAGTTAACCAACACTAACCTAAAATTTGTGTAAAATTATAGCTTTATTTTCATGGAAAAGTGTAAGGTAAATTGCTTAATATTTACAAGCGTATAGTACGAGTGTAACAGGTTTGAAAAAAAAACAGGTGTCCAAAAAGAATGGATCGTACGGTAAGTAAACTGGCCACATTAAAAAGTTACCTTGATATTCAGTTTTTACTTTCTCCCGCTATACGGTTTATAGAGAAATTATTGTTTTTGTAAAAAGTGTTTGATTTAGAGTTTTGGGTGGATATATCCGTTTTGGGTCTCCCTGAATCCAAAGGTGATTTTCGAATTGATGTCTCTGTGTGTGTGTGCGTGAGTGTGTTTTTGTCTTTTTTTGTGGGTTTTGCTTGCTACTTTTGAAATTCTCCCTATAAGATATCATCGTTACTCCCACCGCTTACCCATGATAAAGATTGTTCACAATCTAATGGGAAAAATGATGTGTCAGATTCCTGATACTGTTTATTTTCTTAACTTCCTTAAGTTAGAAAATTCAAACGTGCCAACGACTATGGAACAGCTGAATACTTTTGAAGGGTACGAAAGAAAATACTTAAAGACGCCAGCTTTAGATACTCATTTGACATTTCTACGACCTTAGGTTTTGGTAATACGTATATTAAGCTGTATGTTTAATGCAATCTTTTGGGACAAAGTGTATAAAGACAATTTAAGCAGTTGAATCTAGACAAACTGTAGAGTCTAGTAAAATTGAATTGATAAAATAGTTGTGTCACTGCAATTATTATATTTAGTGGAGTCTGTTATCACGAGCATTGTATTTATTCAAAAATATAACATTCCTTAATACAGTATGTGTATCATGGAACAAGATATCAGAAAAAATACATGTAGTTGAAACAATTTACCAATAATCAAATAAAAAATTAAGTCTTAGCTACTACAAAATAGTTATCAACAATTTTTTTTTTCTTATTGGAGCTGTAATTTGGTCACAGAGAAAGAAGGTAATATCTACTTTAACAGGCTATTACAACGGACATAACTCTAAAATGTCCCAAGGAAAAAGACTCAACCCTCTCCTAAAACACAAAGCACTCGACTCTGTAATAAACTAAGCTTCAAAGCCTGCCTCTGTTAACACGTAATCTTCTTCTTCACTTTGCCCTTTTACTAGTAATGTACTTTAAATCCTTACTTTCAGCTAGCCTCGTTTGTGTCGCTGGTAATTTACAGACTTTTCCAAACGTAGTATTGAATGAAATTAAAGGCAATACATGTGCGTAAAAGACAAAGTGTTGGAATGGATTTAACACGATGAGGGACACTACGATTCTTAAGTAGTTTCTAGACGTTTTTCTTAATCGAGGAAGAGAAAAAACTAATTAGAGTCATGTCATGATATACTGGTACCTAAAACTGAATAACATATTGAAAAGCAAGTATATGCAAACAAAGCCGATATACCGATTACTGATATAACTATCTTTACTCCTTAAAATGGAAACTATATCATCTCATTACAGGTAACTAAGTCAGTAGAGATCTAATCAGTAATATAACATCAATGGCCTTAAAATACTGGGTTTAAACACAAAAGACATATCATCATAGATATTAAATTTTCAAGTGCATCATGTTTGATATTTAGAAGAGAGTTGCCTATTTCAGTTGTGTAAGTTTTGGATACAACAGCAAAAGGAACTAATTGGCTTGCTTTGTACCATAATGTATTTTTTTCATTCGATTACATGAACTTAACTTATGGTTCGTTAACAACTATTTACAGTTAAAGTAAGAACAACCACGGTTGGATAAAGGATGTCTTCATTTAATAATGAATTTGTGCCATAAATTCGCTCTGAATAAAATATTTTATACTTTTCTAGTCAAATTCGAAGTAATTGGAATAAGATATGTCAAAGAATCTCATTGACAAGACATTAATTCCAAATGCCTTGTTGAATCGTTCCAATACAAAAATCGTCTCTGAGGTTTATAGTATAATCAGTGACCTATATTTGAGATGAAGCTGTGGAAGTAAATATTGAGTAGTGAACATCGCAACGGTTGTAAAAGAAAGATTTTATTCAATTGATTTCTCTGCCATACATCTGGTTTAACTAAAACTTTGTGAGCTTTATAAGACTCTTCTTTTTTAATTTTTAACCTGAATTTATATGTCATACAGTTAACTTTTGTTCTATACGGTATATCGGATTCTACAGTTGACTGAAAGGCCCACATTATATCGTCTGGGATCTCGGCCCATTATGAATTGTAGGTAAACTAATAATACCAAAACAACAAAGTAATTTACATTGTGTGGTCATACACAATGCAACAGAAAGCAAACTGGTGTAGTAATTGTCATAAAAGTGTTTTAATATCAATCTTTATTATAAAACTACGTTTATAACTAAAATATACGCAGATCAAAATGTTATTCAAACTAGTAGATTTAATATTGATTTTATTATAAAAAGGGTGACGTGAATAACAAATCTATCCATTTATTCCTAGGAAAGAGCTACACCATAATGACATATTATTATGCATGTAATGCAAAAACCAATTGATTGTAAATAAAATTTATTTTTGCTCTTTGCCTTCTTTTACGGAAGTTTTTTAACCAAGGATCGTATAACATAAAAGCAGATTTTAGCCTACTCCGAACATGTAAGTTTACACATTTTACTAACTAAAGGAAATATTTAATTCCATCGAGTCTTTTTCTTTCGAACGGTATTATTTAAATCTTGGATAACAAGATGAGATGACAATAATACAGATATATTTACAAGTATAACATTTTGCACTTTTTTATGTAGTTATGCCTGAATCGAATCGTTAATCACAATTAAATCCACTAATGTAGAAAACATATGTTTCTCACTGAGTAGAACTGTCGGATAAAACGAGAGCATAATAAGAGATAAATGCGAAAGGACTCATAAAAATTAAAAATTCAGAAATATTGGTGAAGTTGTTATTTCAAATTAATATTTTGCACTTGTTCTATATTCAATTGATTTCATTGCGATCCTTTAGGACGGTGACGTACCCTAGTAAGTATTTTAAGCTTGACATGAGTGAAGGGCGAATGTAGAATGGGATTTGTGAAGTTATGTTTACGACTAAGATCAGGATAAACACAAGCAAGCCAGGATCATCCCAATGATCATACACAGATGGGTCCAGTTTTGAACCACCAAAAAGCCAATGAAATCTCTAGATCTAAAATATCATTTACATATTTTATCAATAATATCAAATGCCACTAACATTATAACTTTTTACGTTTTAGTCCTTGCAACAAACTTTCAGGTAGTATTATGTAACAAATCATTGTAAGCGTAGACTTGCCAAGTAGTTGGAAAATATATACAGTATTAAATATACAAATAACCCTCAACTATCAAAGCTCATAAATACACCGTTAGAGATCCGAGCCTGGAGCCTGTGTTTAAATGGCAGCAACAGGCGGAAGGATAGGCGTTGTTTGCTAGCATTGAATTATTCATATCAAATACAGGAGCTGAATCAGCCAGTTTCTCCAAGAAACGTTTTGGCATGAAATATATAACAAGTGTTTGTGAGAAAAACAATTGCAATACAATTCATACAAACCTCTCTTAAATCTAAAAAAAGAAAACCAAGGAAAAGATTATTTGCTTTACATTAATAAGAATACTATTACTACTACTGATTACAAACACTACACATGATACTTGTTCCTCAAAACAACTTGAATCATTAGTTAAAAACAAAACATTTTCATAATTGTAGTTATTGTAAATATTTTATCGCATATTAGTTTTTTTATGTAAGCAGAGGGCACAAAACATGTTTTTTTATAAAGAACCAAGTTCACTAAAATAGAATTCGCTAGCATGTCACTGTTTCAAAAAAAAAAATCATCATGGGGCGTAATACTTGTGTTTATAAGTATTGATTTTGAAGCTTAGTTATATTTCAGAACAACTCGTGCTTATTATGCACTCGTTTTATCCGACAGTTCTACTCAGTGAGAAACATATGTTTTCTACATTAGTGGATTTAATTGTGATTAACGATTCGATTCAGGCATAACGACATAAAACATCCCTTTACCCACTACTGGAACTGAGCTTGACTTGTGATCCAAGGTGAAATAGTAAGGATTAGCTTCAATGTCAAATTGCTCCAACGCAACTTTGTAAGATTTTATAAATACAACGTTAAGTTGTTAAGTGCTTGTTTATTAAGCTGTTGTTAAATATAAACAATATATTTCTTAAAAATAATCACAAACTGTTATTCGATATAATACAATCCATAGTTTTTCAAATGTAGGGAAAATGATTATTTTAAATATTAAAACGTTTGTATTGAAACCTGCCAAATCCCTTAAGAGAAAACTTTTAAAATCATTGTGTTAAGTAAAACCATTAAACACAAACCTGGAAAGTTAAGATTGTTCTAAAATGAATTATTCAAGAGAAGAGTAAACCTGGTTGGCCACGTTTTGCTCCAACTCTTACCTCATTCAAGGTTAGATGAAGTCAAAAATAAAACCATTATAAATAAAATTATTCTATAAAAAATTATACTATTAAATAAATTAATATATTAATTTGTTGTCTAATTTATATTCGTAAATAAGTAAGTACTGTATAAATATTTAACACAGTTTGTTACATATTTTTTCATAAAAATATCTTTGTAATTTTTTTGTTAATTTCTTCCAACTCTTACCTTGTTCAAGGTTAGCAGGAGACAAAAATGAATAAATTATTGTATTA